ACATCAATATACTTTACAGTATTCTATTAAGTGATCTTAAATATCTATAAAATTTAAGTAAACATGATGGAATGTTCTTTTTAAAATGATTCAATCTTTAAAGTTATAATCAATTGTTTTTTGGGTTATAGGTTGGATTTTGATAGCTAGATACTGCTTTCTTATATAGAGGATTTGTTTCCTAAAAAAATTAAATTATAATAAGTAATGTGCTTTCAATAATAATAATAATAATATTTTTAAAAAATAATGGAATATATTTACATATCACTATATAATAAAATTCATATGTAAAGTATTATGGAAAGGAAGTGTATTACTTTTTCTTTTCCATTGAATACTGAAATCAATGAAATATTTTTAACTGTAAATTTTTCACTTAAAAGATGAGTCATATATATTAATAATTTATTATTTTTATTCACATTTCTATTCTCTGTTATGTTTATATTTAAAATTTTTATTCTCATAATCTGTTACAGTTATTCTATTTTTAAATTTTATGCATTTTGCATTGGTTATTTAATATCTTTTATCTTGCTTTCTTTTTGGTTATGACTTTTTTATTTGAATGTTCTTTAACTGAGGATCAGTCAATCTGGACAAAAACACTTTTATTCCAATAAACTTTTTGCTGGAATTTCAAAGGTTAAATTTTACTTGTGTCATCATTTTCTCTCCAGTTGTATACTATACTCTTGCATATTGTATATTGTTTTTTATGAAGAACTAATTAATATAACTTTTAGTTCATATTTATATTATATAAACTAAAATCTCTTTGATTCTTTGAATTTCGTTAGCATTTATTACAGTTATTACTTTTTTCATATTTCATCTTCTGCCCTGTGAACACTAAGATGATCCAGTCAAACCCACAATGGGGCCAATTGGGTGGTGAGGAACAAGGCCCCCATGTATATATTCCAGTGAGGAATGAGGTTAGACATACAGTATGTCTAACCTCATTCCTCAAATGTTGTATTTCAAAGTTTAACGAATGTATTACATTTTCTGAAGGAGTCTAAATAAAAATGATTGAAAGGTCATTGAAATCTTTTACTTCATGAATTATATTTACCTACTAAATTAATCAATGCACCTTTAACAGTGAAGGTGAAGGAACACTAACATTTTGACTTAGTTAACAGGCCATCTTCAGATGTGGACACATAAAAGTAAATATCACTTCCATCTGTCTGCACCCAAAGATGGTCCATAACCAAATTGAAAATGCTAATGTTCCTTTAACTTCACCCATTTTTAAAGATGCATTGATTAATTCAGCAGATTAACTAGTGACTAGTAGGGTGTGGAGTTCAAGTCAGAAGCAAATTTGTTGCTAGAGGAATCAAAATTAGTAAAAATGAAACAAAAATGCTTAAAACGTAGCCCGATTTCTGAACACCATTCTGGGTTAATATAATCAAAGTATGTTTTAAACTTTTTTGTTGCTTAAACACTATGTAGTGTAATTAATTGATCACTTGGCTTTCCTTCATCTTTTAATTTCCTAATCAGTTGATACACGTTTCTTGGATACATGTTTTGGGCTTGAATTGCCCTCTTCAGTCAACTAAAAAGTTATAAAAATACACATAGTTCATAAAAAAGACAAAAATCACATAAAAGATTGTAATCTACAGGTATGTCTTGTAAATTAACTGTACCAACCGGTACAGTTAATTTAGAAGACATACCTGTAGATTACATGTAGATATATGTGTTTTTTGTCTTTTTATGAACTATGTGTATTTTTATAACTTTTTAGTTCACTGAAGAGGGGCAATTCAAGCCTGAAACGTGTATCCAAAAAACATGTATCAACTGATTTGGAAATAAAAAGATGAAACAAAGCCAAGTGATCGATTAATTACACTACATAGTGTTTAAGCAACAAATAAGAATTACAACTCNGTAAAGCGGCTTTAATACATATGTATAAAAACAATGTAGTAGTCCATTTCAAGTGAAATGAGCTGTCATTGGTTTGCTTATCGGGCAACGCGCCCTTTATTCGAATCGGTTTGTGAGCAAATTTACAATGCTTTTCCAATTTAGTTTTTTTTTTTAACTCTTTCCACCCTGTGGGCACTGAGGGTCTCTTTTAGCAAGCCCATTATGGGTTCGGTCAGGCCCACAATGGGGCGGCCGGGTGGCGAGGGACGGGGGCCGACGTATCGGATCGGACCACCTCCCCAAAAATTCCTGGGGATTTTTCGACCCGTCCGGATTCCATCCCGGGCCACCTTGACCGCTTGGCCATCTGGCCGCCCGTGTTATATACTAATACATAACAGCTGGGGAAAGTAATAAAGAAAACAAATTCTTTTTCTCGATGATATAATACGGAAAAATAATTGTGTCAAATTTCTGGGTTTTTGTAAAACTCGACGTTTAGAAACCCCAAACCCAAGAACGTCGAAAAGGGGAGAGAAATTCCGTGTGCACGCTGACATCTATTTCGTTCAATCTCAGGATGGGGTAAAGTTTAAGTAACAAAACTTGGCACGATAACTTGTATATAAGGGGCATTGATGCTATTAAATTTTGGTGGTTAAAGGTCGAGGGGTTGGGAGAAAGGTATTACGTGTCATATAATATCTCGAGTAGTGTTGGGCTAAATGAAAGTTTTACTCGTTATTGGCATTTACAAAATTTTAAAACCTCGTCTCTACTCTTAAAATTAATTTTTATATTATTAATTATTACAAAAAAGATGTTATTTTATACAGCTAGCACTACATACCGGTTTAACTTTCGGCTAACATTATAATGCTTTTTTAAATAAAAAATCTCCATTTAAAAAATTGTCATAATTCAACAAAATTATTCCTTTTAATCTTTTATTACTTAAATTTTATATCCTAATATAATTGAAAGTACAGGATTTTCTAATGGTCTCTATCCTTCTGTTCGAGTGCCAAGAAAGTCCTGAGCAAGACCCTTGCCAGTTTTTATTACATCAAAACATTAAACGGCAATACAGTACTCGTGTACTTGTTACAATCATTCTTGCTAGCACACTTAAAGAAACCTCCACACAATTATTAATACTTTTAAATCAAATTGTTTTACTTCGTAATATCTTAACAATAATTCCTCAAATATAATGTAAAAATTCAATAAAACCTCTTCCGTACTTGCCTTTGAAGTATGTCGCCATCTGCCTTCAACTCAAGTTGATTCTGTTCTTATTTACGACATCGGTACTATTTATATCAACCAATGTCGCGTGAGATTAGTGAGATCAACAGAGGGAGGCAATGCTACAGGAATAGTATGCAGATGTTAAATCCCGTCTATCAGTTTGCTATTTTTCCAATTAATCATGTATTTAAAATAATCTTCGTAACTTACTGGAAATTTTTAAATCAAACAGGCCAATGTTTATAATTTTCAAAATTCTTAATAGATTCAAAACAAGAAATAACATAAAAGTAGTTTGTAAAACGCTTTCTTTGAAAGTTAGCAGACAACATTATAGTTTTGAAAAGATTAAATATAAATCGTATGAGTTAGCACCACTTTGGGGTATATTTTCTCATGCTAATTAATCTATGGTAAATTTCTTGCACAGCTTTGGGGCATATTTCTATTGTGTAGAGTTTTTGACAAATTTCTTACACTTATGTTGTATGTTTTTCCTAACTTTTTATCGTTATAATCCAAATTGGTGCCAGAAATTTGCTACAGACTTAGGAAAAATATACCCCAAAGTGTTTGAAAATTCATACTATTAATATAATGACAACATGAATCAGTGTATAAAAACTGCTAAAGTTGATATAATAATATTCTTAACATTTAAAAAAATATATTTTTAAAGAATATACAAGAAACTGACTCTAATTCCAGTACTTTCACACATTATAAGTGAACTCAATCCCCAATAAGATTGGCTAGCATGGTTCAGGAATGCAGAACATGGCTCTGATCCTATCTAACAGTAAAAAGCATTGGGTCATTGGGGTTGGAGTCTAAATAAGCTTAGAAATATTTATATTTTACAAAAACCTTTCATTATCCTGGCAAAACCCACAGATGATAAAGGCCTCTTTGTGGCTACAAGGAAAATGATCAAAATTTTAAAAATATACTAACTGTATCTGACAAATTAGAGATTTTGAACAGGTTCCTGACAGCAACAGGATAGTAAGTTTCATTGTATCCGTCTGACTAAATTTTATTGTGTTAGTTAAAAGTTTTTAAGATAGTCTTCACCCCAAAATAATTTAAAAATCAGTAAATTTATATTTTATTCATTAAAAACATAATACATCATCATTCACTAACTTGGAATGTATTCCACATAAAATATGAAAGGAAATATGTAGCATGTTTCATTTGGCACAACTTATTTTTATGATGATATAAATTATTGCATTACAAAGACACAACAACATTACAAACATTTCTTGAGACTAGAAAAAAATTTCCTTTTCACCAACAATTTATACAATAAATGCATTTAATAATGAAAGTAACAAAACAGATATTAAATGAATAAAAAATATATCACAAGTTTTAAAAGAATTATTTTAAAATTAAAGGTTATATTCTTAATTTTACATCAAAAGCATTACTAATTAAAATGCTATAAACAATAACAATTTTATAATAATCATCTTTATCTGTGTAAAGGTTTGACAGAATACAGTACATCTACAGAATCTATGGAATATTTAAGAAATAGATCTAGAGAATTATTGTTTAATGATTTACATTTAAAAGCTGTGGCAGATGATAAAGTTTAAACTTCATAGCAATTGTACAGTAATAAACTATGACTTTTTAGGTTCTTTAAAAAATTTTTAAATGACAAATCCATATTTAATTTGTCTAAATACATAATACTTTAAATTTAGCATAAAATGTAGCTCTAAATATAACTAACAAAAACATTTCTACAAAAAATAGTTGATAAATTATTTAAAAACAATACATTACAAAAATTGCAGATTATTTTAAAATGCAATGTAATTCATACAAATTAAAATTTATACATACTTCATAAATAAGAACATAAAAACAAATAGCAATTTTTGATTGATTAATGTTTTATTATTAGCTCACAATACAGGACAGAATGAGAATTATTTTTTTAACTTAGTATTTGTTTCTAATGTTTTATTTATTATGAATAATAATAAGTATATACAAACACTTTTCAGTTTTCAATACTTATAACTGAAAACTAATATTAAAAATTAAAAACAGAAATCCAAACAATAATTTTCAAGCCAATACGAAGCAAGGCCAGATTTCTAAATAGGCACAGGAGGCCAGAGTCTACAGTGGCAGATTCTGAGGGCATTGTATAAGAATTTCACAAATAAAAAAAAACTAATATATAATTAAATAATTCCATTAATTTATGATGTAATTTTTAATTAAACAGAAATGTACCATGTACTTTAACAATACCATTTAGTAAAATGTCTCATTTTCATACTGTACAACAATTCACAAAGAGAAAAAAAAATGTCTAAACTTTCAATAAACAGAATATATTATTACTTCATTTATTTTTATTATTAAATTTAATACAGAAATATAGAAATAAGCAAAGCATAAAGCTTTCAAAACTAATTAAATTTCTAATATTAATTAAGTAATTTATATAAACATCTAAAAGCCGGATATTTTGTAATAAGCTAAACAATTACCAGATTTTCGAGCTACTTTACTGCTGCTATTAATAATTGAATACTACATAATTTAATTACTAATAGTAGTGGTAAAGTAGCCCAAAAATCCAACAATTGTTTGGATTATCTATGTCAAAGATTGAAATTGGATGTAACAACTCAGGCAAAAACAGTAGGAAAAATTAGAATGGCTGATATTATTACTAAAATATTGCTATTTGTTTTTATGAAACCTTTCTTCACTTATCAATACAAAATCTTATGTATTTGTAATAATACATTTTAACCAATATAGCAAAAATACAAGGAGGTGTATGAAAGTTTTCTCTCTTCCTCTAAAGGAGGTATAGAGAAAATATAACTCAGTAATAAAATCATTTTCATTAGTATTAGTATTTGGGATCGTCTCCTATTTTTCCAATTTTTGCTACTGTACAGCAATTTTTTCCATATTTATGAAGTTAAAAAAATATTTATAAGGAATGCATTTTCATCATTTAAAGACTTTAATCAAATAAACTGGCACACATATATATGTAAACAGCTGTCAAATTTCAGAAATTAGTAATCATTTGAAAGTATGGAGCTGAGTTAAGATATGACTTGTCAATACTGTTTTTGTATGACAGCATATTAACTTATTACAGATTTGATAAGCAGTTTGACATACTTTACACAGTTTTCCACCTTTTAATACTGAGAAAATAACAACATAATGATAAATAGTAACAAAATATTCTTGTCATTTTTTATACTTAAATTAATAATACTGCTTTCATACTCTAAATAACATTCAGGATGTGCATAAAGTCTGGAACCAATTGGAAATTTTTTTCTCATAACAGATTCAGTGATAGTGCGAAGTAAGAAAGGCTGAATGAAGATAACTCTCCTTTGTGGCTGAGAAGGACTTATACAAAGGCAGCCAAATTCGCCAAACCGCTGATAACACATGGCATGATGGGGAAACTGCTTCAATAACTTTGAGAACAGGATCAGTCATGACAAGCTCAAAGTGGGTGACCATCTGTCAGCAAGGACACATGTTTTGTAGTGACATTTGTTCATTAACATTAGTACTAATGTGTTCTTGCACATTTTCCCCATTTGTTCCAGACTTTATGTACAGTACATCTTGTATATACTGTATATAAAACTTCAACCATTCTAAACAATGGTTAATTTCTTTTCCCTCTAGTTGCAAAAAGTTCTGCTGCCATTGATCTTATACAATATTAACAAAGTTGCTAAATATATAAAAATACTTTTCTGAAAGCTTCCCTGAAAATTGTATTTATATAACTTGTTGTAATTTTCATAAAAAATTTATTTTCTAAATTAGAAGTATTTCTTATTGTTTACACTGATAATTTTTAAAATGATATGATACATAATATATGATGCTATATTAATAAAGTCTGACAAAACATTACCAATTTTTCAAGAATGTTGTTTCTTTTCCTCTTTTACATCAATATACTTTACAGTATTCTATTAAGTGATCTTAAATATCTATAAAATTTAAGTAAACATGATGGAATGTTCTTTTTAAAATGATTCAATCTTTAAAGTTATAATCAATTGTTTTTTGGGTTATAGGTTGGATTTTGATAGCTAGATACTGCTTTCTTATATAGAGGATTTGTTTCCTAAAAAAATTAAATTATAATAAGTAATGTGCTTTCAATAATAATAATAATAATATTTTTAAAAAATAATGGAATATATTTACATATCACTATATAATAAAATTCATATGTAAAGTATTATGGAAAGGAAGTGTATTACTTTTTCTTTTCCATTGAATACTGAAATCAATGAAATATTTTTAACTGTAAATTTTTCACTTAAAAGATGAGTCATATATATTAATAATTTATTATTTTTATTCACATTTCTATTCTCTGTTATGTTTATATTTAAAATTTTTATTCTCATAATCTGTTACAGTTATTCTATTTTTAAATTTTATGCATTTTGCATTGGTTATTTAATATCTTTTATCTTGCTTTCTTTTTGGTTATGACTTTTTTATTTGAATGTTCTTTAACTGAGGATCAGTCAATCTGGACAAAAACACTTTTATTCCAATAAACTTTTTGCTGGAATTTCAAAGGTTAAATTTTACTTGTGTCATCATTTTCTCTCCAGTTGTATACTATACTCTTGCATATTGTATATTGTTTTTTATGAAGAACTAATTAATATAACTTTTAGTTCATATTTATATTATATAAACTAAAATCTCTTTGATTCTTTGAATTTCGTTAGCATTTATTACAGTTATTACTTTTTTCATATTTCATCTTCTGCCCTGTGAACACTAAGATGATCCAGTCAAACCCACAATGGGGCCAATTGGGTGGTGAGGAACAAGGCCCCCATGTATATATTCCAGTGAGGAATGAGGTTAGACATACAGTATGTCTAACCTCATTCCTCATATGTTGTATTTCAAAGTTTAACAAATATATTACATTTTCTGAAGGCGTCTAAATAAAAATGATTGAAAGGTCATTGAAATCTTTTACTTCATGAATTATATTTACCTACTAAATTAATCAATGCACCTTTAACAGTGAAGGTGAAGGAACACTAACATTTTGACTTAGTTAACATCTTCTTCAGATGTGGACACATAAAAGTAAATATCACTTCCATCTGTCTGCACCCAAAGATGGTCCATAACCAAATTGAAAATGCTAATGTTCCTTTAACTTCACCCATTTTTAAAGATGCATTGATTAATTCAGCAGATTAACTAGTGACTAGTAGGGTGTGGAGTTCAAGTCAGAAGCAAATTTGTTGCTAGAGGAATCAAAATTAGTAAAAATGAAACAAAAATGCTTAAAACGTAGCCCGATTTCTGAACACCATTCTGGGTTAATATAATCAAAGTATGTTTTAAACTTTTTTGTTGCTTAAACACTATGTAGTGTAATTAATTGATCACTTGGCTTTCCTTCATCTTTTAATTTCCTAATCAGTTGATACACGTTTCTTGGATACATGTTTTGGGCTTAAATTGCCCCTCTTCAGTCAACTAAAAAGTTATAAAAATACACACAGTTCATAAAAAGACAAAAATCACATAAAAGATTGTAATCTACAGGTATGTCTTGTAAATTAACTGTACCGGTTATATATGTGTTTTTTGTCTTTTTATGAACTATGTGTATTTTTATAAGTTTTTAGTTGACTGAAGAGGGGCAATTCAAGCCTGAAACGTGTATCCAAAAAACGTGTATCAACTGATTTGGAAATAAAAAGATGAAAGAAAGCCAAGTGATTGATTAATTACACTACATAGTGTTTAAGCAACAAATAAGAATTACAACTCAGTTTCAGATTGGCAAATGTTAGAGTAGGACTTTTTGAAATTCGGAGTTGGGGGCTTCATCTAATGACTTTATAGCCCAGTGGCTAGTTCATTTTTATCATCATTATCCAAACCAAACCACTTTTTTTTTTTCATAGACAAATTTCAAAAACTATAGAAAATGCTGAAGTTCTTTAGAGAATTTGAACTTTTTGTTCGATTTTACATTTAAGAACTTTCCTTAAATTTTAAATTATAATTATATTCTGTGATGTCTACAACATACCATGATCTATTTTTAATGTATTAATAAAATTTTCTGAAATATAGATCACAACCAAAGTAAATTTGCATTATTTGTTCTTACAAATTTAAATAATAATAGTTTCACTTAAATTTCTAACAAATATAACATTAAAATATTTCACTTACTTGACCCCATTTAAGTTTATCAACTTCTTCTTGAAATTTTTTGTAATCTCGTAAATCTTTTAAATGGATACAAAATCTTATTATTAAAACTGCAATTAGTCCAATTAGAAATACTCCACCAGCTACAATTCCAACTACTAAAGGCACATTTATTGGTTTTGGACATTCTACAATAAATATTTATTGGAAATTTAAATAAACATCACTTAAATAACAATTAATAATTTATTAGAAGTTAAGCTTTAGCTAAAAACAACTAAATCTTATATATTACAAAATATATGAAGTGTGAAATGCCATTTTCTTTAAATACATTTTACTGAAGAATTGAATTCTAAATGCAATGTTTTCTGCTGCAAAAACATATTGTGGCGATAGTGACGCTGTAACTGGATGTATTTTGAAGTTGAATTTATGTGAAGCCATAACATTTAAAGTGCAAGTCACATGACTTTTGGCACTTAAAACATTACAACTTATATTTACATCATTTTCATATTCAAGAGATTTTTATATTTTTATCTTTTTATTGTAAAATTAAAATGAATTCATTCACTAGAAAATGTGTTTTTTACCTCTCCTGAAAAGTTGTTTTTTGACATTTACAACATTATGGCATTGCATGCTTCATGTAATAATATGATATGTAAAAACCATTATAAATCTGGTAATTTTTATTATTAAAGCTTCTTGTCCTTTTCCTTCGTAATTTATTCTTATACAGCTATGTATTTTTGGCTATTATTTTTGAACTTATCATATCACATTATCTTAGGAATCTTGACTTGTCTTTTTTTCTCTTTATTTTTTTAGTAAGATTAAACTCCAATATGTACAGTACATTTCAGGTTTTTTACCCCTCTTCAGTTGGATCATTACATTTAGATTGTGGCTGTATACCATAATTTTAAGTTATTATAGAATATTATAGATTGTAGTTTCTGTCCTCAATTCTTACCATTTCCTGTTTCTAGAACTTTCTCCTGCCCTTTATTTCTACTTCACTCAGTTGTTGATAGACATTCTGAACTGTCCCATGGGGAGATTAAATGTCTGAGAGCCCAAATGTGGAAATAATGGCTTTTTGGAGAAGGGAGAGAACACAGATGAGAGGGAGACAGCAAAGAAAGAAGGTCAATTTGTATCATAGTGAAGAATCTAGGAGTTTTCTGAAGGCTTTGTGCCACCAGAGTTGTAAGGTAGCCAACCTAGGCTAGGAACTTGAACTAAGCTAGGGAACTTGAAAACCCACTCCTTGGCATCAGTGTAAGGTTGCCATCTTTTAGGTGGGATCAGTTAATCCTGCATCAGGATGAACTCCTTTACCACAGCCCACATGCAGACTAAGGGAAGTCTGCATGTGGGCTGTGGTAAAGGAGGCAAATGATGACAAGTGTTTTCCAAATTAAAGCTGTTTATTTGGTAACATTTATGCTTACATCAAATATTTGACAACCTATACAGTCTAATATATATAGCCTATATGTATTTCAAAGGAAACAGGCTACAGGATGACTTTAAGTAATCTTCAGCAAGAGATTTTTGTGTGAAAGAGAAAAGAAAAAAACAAAGAAACAAAAGGACACTTCCTCGTATATTTCTTTGTGATGCCAGAAAGGACTTTGATATTTTACTAATTTCTGCATATGCCAACAAGTCAAAGTTTATACTTTTCTTCCAATCATAAACTTTTCCCACACTTCATTTCCATTTCTACATTTTCATAATGTAAAAAACCATGAAATTAAATTAGTTCTTAATTTCATGTGTAGTAACTATCCATGTCATTTTGTTTAATTATTGTATCCTATTTCATAATTCTGTGGTGATTTTTAAGTAAACTCACCTTTTTTTTAATTTTTTTTTTAGTTTTTCAACATATATAGACAATGGAGGAAACAGGTGTAGGATAGATTTCTGTCAGTGTGTACACAATTTCATAATCTCCACAATGTATATGTTCAGATATGAAGTAAGTTAAATAGATTCAATTGACTAATTAAAATTTCTACTGTATAAGTTAAATAACAGTTGTTCTTAAATGCAATGGTATTGTTCATTCTATAAGTGCTGTGATAAAAAAAATGACAGTTGAAGTGTTAAACAGCCAAACAATGAACTATATTTATTCTTTTTAAATTTCAACTGTATATATACATTTTAAATTAATGATAATTAAAGTAAAATTATAAAAAAATTACCTTTAATGTTCTGTGCAAAAATATAAAGTTCATTACTTTCATTATAAGTATATTTAAATGTAAAAGAACATCCATCATTATCTTTGAACACACACAGTTTCTCATTTTTATTTTCAACTGTAAAATAAATATATTTATATTATAAATAATTAGTAGTAAAGCAGAATATAAAATTATGTTATAAATACAGCAACTAAAATCATTTTATTGTTTCAATATTTAACTCTGAGCTTATAGAAACTGTAGTTCATAGACTTTCAATGCAAAATTTAAAGTTTTAATTTAAATGGAATAAAACTATATAAACTACTTTTCATTTAATATTTATGTTTTATGTATTTTCATTTAAAGAGATATGTAGTTCTAAACTATTGAAATTATGTTATCTTTTTGATTAGATTTTATTTATTTATTTTAATGGTTAAATTGTACTTTTGCATAAGTTTCATAAAGTTGACATACTGACAATAAGGAAAATTAAAATATTTAATAATGAATTTTTTCACATTTACATATTAAACAATAATTTGATTATTTATAAATATTAAATTTATATATTTTCCAGTTTTTTAAAAATAAATTATGTTTAGTTATATAAAATTCTGCCAGTTTATTTATCAAGAATTAAAAAATAATATTTATTGAGTACTTTTAGTTGTTTCAATCAAGCTTTGTCAGAATGTTTAAAAAAGGAACAACAACATTGTTGTTTTTTGAAATACAAAGTGCATTCCATAAGTAATGCGACTAATTTTTTCATGACACGATGATATGCCATAGCTAGTTCTAACCTGATGTACTAAGTGGTGTGGGGTGTTAGCTTCAAAACTCGCCCGGTCTCATTTGCCTCCAAGCTGCCGGCATGTGAGGATGTTTGTTCCCATGAACCCTATTTTGAGTTAATGTAACATGGAGCGATGGATCATTTTGTGGAGCAATGTTACTCTATCAAATTTTGAGTTAAACTTGGGAAGTCTGCCACTGAAACTTTAACATTAATTCAGCAGTCCTTTGGGAGTGAGTGCTTCTCCAAATCACAAGTCTTTTGATGGCACAAGTCATTCAAGGATGGCCGAGAGGAGGTCACTGACAAACCTTGCAGTGGACGTCCATCAACCTCCTGAATTGTCTTCTGTGACGTCAGAGGCATTAACCACCACGAATTTGTACCTGTCAGGATCACTGTAAATGCAGCTTTCTACTTGGAAGTGTTCAAAAGACTGAAATCCTAGTCACGTGCTGCCGAAGTGACATCAAGGACATGCAGAAACTTTATCACAACAACGTGCCAAGCCACAGCACCTTCACTGTCAATGATTTCCTGGCCAGGACCTACACCCCATTGCTTTCACAGCCACCTTACAGTCCTGACCTGGCTCCTGCCAACTTTTTTTTGTTTCTCCGCATGAAAGGGAAACATTGGGACATGATTGAAAACATCAAGGCTTATGTTACATCAGCTCTAAAGGACATTTCGAAGAAGGCCTTCCAGAATGCCTTCCAGGCCCGGAAACACTGGCTTCACAAGTGTATTGATGCAGGAGAGTGCTATTTCAAAGATTTTTGACTAATTGTAAAAATATGTTCAATAAATGATTTTTTATGAATTTGGTCGCATTACTTATGGAATACACCTTGTATTCTGTGACAAAACCATAGGCTGACATGACACTATCAACAAATAATATGCAACAATATAACATTTATTTTAACACTATGGATGGTAAAGAACATTATTTACATTGTAATAAAACATTAATATTCATTATAGATATAACTTATAATTGACTACTTAAAAAAATTGTATTTTAGTAAAATAAATAAATTGTGGCTTAACGCCATATCTGCATCGTGATCTTATATTTATATTTTATATTATATTTCTTGCTTCCGTTCCTCTTTCCTACTTTCCCCTTTGATCTATTGTCTGTTCAGACCGCAGTCTGGACAGATGTATGGACAACCCTTCCAATACGTTTTAGCATCATATGGAGGGAACAAAGGATGTGAGGTGTCGAGAAGAACTTGACTGATAAATTATTAAAGAACTTAAGGATATACTGTGATATTTTTCCAGCCCAGTGATTAATTTGGTGATCAAGATATCGGGTTTCCCAATCTACGATGTGAGAGAGAAAATTCAACAACAAGAGGCCTTTCACAAGGATCCTGATACTAAAGTTTGGGTACCCCTTTTCTATCTCCTATTTCTGATCTATCCTCTATTCTCTGTCTTAGTTATATAAGAAATGATGTACATCTTAGATATAGATTAATTTTTACATTTATTTGTAAGACTCTATGGAACTAATGTCTAGATAATGAAAGGTTCTATAATTATTGTCACGTAGAATAAATCGGTCAAGTAAAGTGTGTATAGTGTAAATATTCAAATGACAAATATCACTAATTGGAGTCGAGGCTATCTGGCATCCTATAAAATAACCTGTATCTCTAATTTGGGAAAGAAAATTAAAGTCTTTTCATTGTTCTTATATGTTTTTGGTTAATTCTAAAAAATAGAAACAACCTCATTACAACAAAATAAATGTTATTTTTACTNAAATTAGTCAGATAAACTAATCTTAATCTAACTGGAATTTTTACATGTTTAGATTATAAAATGTTAAACAAGTTTAAGTTGTGAAACTAGTTAACACATTAAGTGCCACAATAGAAAGGTGTAAAATATCACATCATGGGCCATGCTCTTTTTTATGAACAAAATAGCACAAAAATTATGGTCATTTAATATAATTTTGTCTTCATTGTTGAAAAATATTTTTTCTTGATTTTTAGGTGTTGTGGAATTGCAACAATGGCCTAAATGATTTTTTCTGATCATGTTATGCCGTCTTTTATGCTCATCAGGTTCTAAATTCAACAGAACTTCTACCACATAAATGCATAAAATCTATGTTGCATAAATTGACTGATATAAATCTAAAATAGAATAATCATTAAAATAATATACTTACTGTTTTTGTTCACTAAAAGAAAATAAAGATTGTTTTTTGAATATTTGTTAGAAAAAAGTTAGAAAATCAAATTTTGCATATTTCTTATATTTTATAAGGGAAAATTTTAAATTTCTATTAGCATTCTATCATTAAAAAAATTTACTGGGTCTTGAGTAATTTCCATATCCACAGGCCATGCTTTAACAAGTTCCATTGAATTCACTCGACTAGCATGTTGCTCCGAAGTAACACAGCACAATTTCAATGTACTGTACAGTGTATATTGCATATTTGCAACATATAGTGCTTAACGTGTTAAAAACTTTGTAGTATAAACAGAATCAGTTCAGCTGAACTAGTTTAAAGTACTATCAAGTCATTTAAGTTTTATAAAGTTCTCTAAAGTTTACCTTTCTTACTGCTAATGCTAGGACATCTAAATACTAAAAATCATATAAATTTATAATTTTTATAACTATTTATATGGTTTTTAGTGCCTAGATGTCCTAGCTTTATTTATTGTATCACTATTACATAAAATAAAAATACTGTTTAAATTAAATATTACTTTCTCAAGTACTTTTGGGAAGCTAAGCCTATCATCAAGAGAAATAACTAAAGACTTGCCAAGCATATGTGAGTGACTAAACTTACAGTGAAAATGTCTGTATGTGTTTCTACTTTCCATATGAAAGGTACATAAATATTATAAATGTGTAGAAATAGTATCATTTCTAGAGTAAGATGCTACACAAAAATTTGCAGGTGAACAACGTGTTGTTACAGAAAAACTTTAGACATTCTACTACAGTGCTTTCTAAACTTTTAAACTGAAGTAAGGAATGATGTAATAGACTCACTGTCTTACAGCATTAAAAACAAATTTTTATTCAAAATTGCAAATATTTTTGATATCTTACAACTATCTTCATCATGCTGATTTGGTTGGAGTCAAATCGAACAAGATTTTTCATATTTAAGCAGAACAAGAACATAATGGACAACTTTAAAAAAAATGTTCCAGCTGCATTTGTTAAAAAAGTTGTCCATTATGTTCTCGTTCTGTTAAAATATGAAAAATCTTGCTTAATTTGATTCCAATCAATAAAATGAGGAAATTTTTAAACTATCAAAAGTATCAATATTTGCAATTTTAAATAAAAAATTGTTTTTAATACCATAAGATGGTGAATACATTACATCACAACTATTTTGGCATAAAGTGTAGCTAATTTTTGTTATCTGAAGTAGGTAAAGATAGAATAGAGATAATTTATAAAAAATTTACTCTACGTTGGAGTAAATAACTTTTAAAATTTTGATATTACTTACATTACAGTCTTCACAGTAAAGGCCTGTATATGACCCATGTTCATCATTATGACATTTACATTTTCCACAAATGCAATCACCATGACCACTGCAAACCAAAGGTTCACTATTTCCTATGGAAGCTATACAAGTACTTTGATCTTCAGTACAATCACAATCATCTCCAGTCCAACCAGGTTGACAAATGCACTTTCCACAACAAATTCCTCGTGAAGGTCCACCACAAATTTTCCCTTCGGAATCGCGTTCACAGGAAAATGTATCACACTGACAATATTGGCCAAAAATTTCTTCATCTCCCTTTGAAAAAATAAATTTTTATTTACATATTTAAATGTTTGAAATTTATTTCTAAAAGTGAAATTTAAAATTAATTCCAATATCATTTCAATAAAATTTATATCCATTTTTAAATATGAATGAAATCAAAATCCTCTATTTATTTCTCATCTGTAAACTTATATATATTTGAAACATTAATTTTAATTAACATTAATTCAAAATTTGTTTCAATTAATTATGAAATCAAAATCTTTAAATTTCAATATTGTGAAGCAGTGGCATGTGGTGACATTTGGTGATAGGGAACCAAGTCCTGTACCAGTCCTGGATAGAATCATTGGAAGCATTATACGATATTTTGGTGTATAGCATCCATAAGCTAAACCGTGTAAGGTTGATGCTTTGTAAAGCACATGCACAAACGTGTATAATCTGGCTGCTTTACATCATTCAAATATTTTCACAATGGAAACTGTCCTGTATATTCGACAATACAACACTTCCATTGGGAATATGCATATATGGATTTATATTCAAATATACAATAGCAATCTTATCATTTTTTTTCACATGTTAGTATACAAATTTGTAATAAAATACATAATGTGATTATAATAAAATATTAATTTTAATTAATTCAAAGTACATTAAAAAATGAAAATAATCGTGCAAAATGTATTTATGTTTTTGAAAATACAAGGGAAGTGGTGCTTCCACAGCTTCCATGGATGGCACGCCACTGCTGTGAAGAGTTTAAAAATTCTTTAACTAAGATAATAAAAAATTAACTTCATTTTTTATATCTTAATTCTTTCTGTCCTGTGGGCACACAGAGGATGTTTTAGCAAGCCCACAATGGGGCAACCAGTTGGTGAAGGATGTATCTGTATAGACCACCACCTGAAAAATTCCAGGAGTTTTTTGACCCATCTAGATTCAATCCTATGTCCTCCAGAGTGGTAGGCTAGCACCTGATTGAAAACATTTGAATAATGAAAATTTTTACTTCATTTGATGGTTGTAGAGGTGATTTTAGTTCTGGAAAAAGCCAGAAGTCACAGGGTGCCAAATCTGGGTTATAGGGGCTGAGTCATCTAGGTGATTTGATGTTTCACCAAAAATTGCATGAGACATGATTCATGGGTGGGCACATTGTCATGATGATGCTGTCAATCACCAGTTGCCCATAGCTGTGGCCGTTTTTGTGATATTGCATATCTCAACTGACAAACAACATTGAGGCAGTATTCCTTATTAATTATTTGGCCTGGAGGAACATACCTATAATAGACAACACCTTCCCAATCAAAAAACAGTTAACATGGTCTTGATCTTGCTGCAACTTTGCCATGCTTTCTTCAGTTATGGAGAACCAGGTGACTTCCATTGGGATGACTGAGCCTTCATTTCTGGATCATAACCACAGACCTACAATTCATCTCCACTTATGACTTTTGTAATGCTTTGCGACTTGTATTCTTGTGTTTTGGTTTTTTTCCTCAACCCCTTTGTGATACCACTTTTTACCAGTTCACTTTATGCTGGCAGCCAGATTGGCCAGTAGAGGTTGCATGGGGGAGAATATCTGCTTGGTACTGTATAAAAGGTCGCGATCCATGTGTGGTAGGCACCGTTTTTTTTCTTGTTTCCACTTGCGGTGTTCTGGCCACCTGTGAATGATATGAGATAGAGACAGTGAGCATGAGAGGACCAAGTATGGGATAAAATCCAAAGAGACAGCAATCCATTTCAATTCAACCAAAGATACTTTAATGTCAAGTCACAACACATTCAAAAAAAAGAAAAAAAAAAAAAGATTGGCAGGAGATTCATCCAAACATAATAGTTTTCTTGTTCATTGTTTGTATGCAGGAGAAAAGTGTTGTGAGCAGGTTAATTTTTATTTCTGTGTTACGTGCCCTACATTGTTACTTTTTTTTGTTGTCGCATGCCTCCTCCCTTTTCCACTTTCAAACCTCCAACCATCCCACCCTCCTAACTTTTCTTCAAACCACTCTCCTTCCTTCCTTCACTCATCTTTCTTATCTTTTAAGGCTACACCTTTGAGTACAGCCTTTTCTTTCACATGTATGTATGTTGTCACATGCCATGAGCCCCCTTGAAGGAGAGGAGGAAAGAAATGAGAACATGAAACATGTGAAACATTATATTGTTATTATTGGGAAGATTGAAAATTTGTTAAGTTCATGATAGTTCATGTTCCATGTATATATATATTGTGAATGTGTCAACAGGAATTGATTAAAAGCCCAGTATATCTGGCAATTGTTTTTTTTTTTTTTTGGTCTAGTCCTGCAGATCTCATTCCACAGAGCATTTTACACTTTCTTGAGTAAATCTGGTTCATTGGTAGTAGTTTGAAGCAAGTCATTAGTAACTGCAACCAATGTTCCCTCTAATNAAGTCATTAGTAACTGCAACATAATGTTTCTTCTGCTTCAGTAGCAGAAGCCACAGAAAGAATTTTGTCATGACATGTTTCATGCCAAGATCCTACATCAAAATCTCAGATGGTAGTTTTTGGAAGCCCCAGATCAGCTTCTAATTCTTGCACTGCCAGTCACCAATCTTTGTCAACTGCAGCTCATACACATTCAACACATTGTCAGGCAGTGGCCCGCTCAAGATTTAATCTTAAGGGAGCCAAGTTGAATGGATAAAAAATTTTTTAATGCAAACTCAATAAAATCCTCACATTATGTAACCACTAATTCATAATTATCATAGAAATAGAAGATATAGCATAATATAAATGAAAAATAAATTTTAATTAGGAAAAGAGGTTTGGAAAATTTTTAGTGTTTGTTTTCCTTTTTCTTTGGAGGGTAATAGAGCCCCTTAGCCCCCTCTGGGTGTAACACTGTTTTCAGGTGTTCTGCTTGTTGTCAGCCTTCAATTCCAGAACATGGATTACTTTCGATAGATTCTCAGCCATCTTTGAAATGTTTGTGCCACAATTTTATTTGCATTCACTCATCACATTGTCTCTGAAGGCCTTCTGAATGTTCAAACTTAGGAACAAAGGAAATTTTTGAACAAAGGAATGTTCAAACTTAATGCAAAATTTGGTGCAGATTTGTTGCTCTACTTCCTTAATCATTTTGAATGTGACAGTATACATACTGTGTGGCCCATTCAATGGTGCCTAGCACCCCTACTAACTAGTATAGTGAAGTCATCATTATTCACACATGCACATTCCAGTTCACTGTCCTTGGCTGCCAGGTTATATCAATGTCATGCAAACTATTCTCATTGTATTAACAATGACTAGATCTTTTCTGGACAGACCTTGTATATGTGTATTTATATTTTTATATATATTATTGTTTTTATATTATTGCACAGGTCATTGCTTGAGAATGTTAATAAAATTCCAAAGATGCACCTCCTTTGAAACATTTTAAAGCTTCCAGAAAGACCTGATTGAGCATATTTATATAGGTCAAGAGCCAGTGTGTTCTTTCCCTCATCTAGTTTGATTCTGGATGTACAAATGGAAGAGGTGCAAAAATGATGGAAGATGAAGAAAGATATTGGGCTAGCAGACCAGATGTGAAAACTTTTTGGTCAATAAACATCTATAATTGTAAAGACTGCTATGGAATTTGGACTCAGAGTGATAAGTACTAATTATTATTGCAATGAATGAGGATTCTTGTGTGTAAAAATTGGATTTTAATTATCTGTTCTTATACATAATGTTTATAAATAAATTGTTATTCTTTGTCTTTTGACTGTCTCTTCTTGAAACCAGATTCACAGAATTCTGGATTATTAGAAAAAAAAAAACTTATATACTTTTCATAGGGTTGTGTCTTTGTCTCATCATATTCTCCTACCCATCAAAATGCAATTCAACCAAATGTTTCAAAACAAAATGCAGCAAATTTACTGAATCTCTTTCAGAATGACACTATCTACAGGAATTTAACAGAGCTTAAATAATAATGAAAAAGGATTCATTTCTAAACTTTTGTCAGGAAAAGACAAGTGTGTGTCATAATTGCTTTTCTTTAAAACACACATAGGAAAGTTAACACAAATAATATAAAGTATGTACTGACAAAAAACAGAAAATAGTAAAAGATAAAGAAAATAGACTCTTCCAGAAAAGTCAATTATATCATCTTTTAACTATCTGTAAAATCTGTTTCTATAATGAAAGAAGGATTGAAGATGCAGATCCACATCAAGATAGCTTATTTTTTAATTAATGAGTGTGTTTTTAGTGTTAAAAATTTGAATGATAATATAATATGTTTTCACTTCATGCCAACATTTACTGTATCACTATAACACTGCCAGTGGTGTTACAGGAGTGGAATCTCAGACTTGAAACTTATCTAGCTTTGGAGAATGATCTCATCCGCTAGCACTTTCAGTAGTGTAAAACTACCATCATCAGGCAGTACATAGAATACGACAGTTTAAACTTTTTGAACAATATTCCGATGGTTTTACAAATTCAAATATTGAATATTTCGAACAATGTTTCTGTCTGATGGTAGTTTTACACTACTGAAAGTGCTAGTGAATGAGATCATTTTCCAAAGGCAGATAAGTTCCAAGTCTGAGATTCCACTCCTGTAACACCACTGTATGTAAATGTTGAATGATAATTCTATTTCCATTTTCCTGATGATAATATAATAGTGTCAAGAATATATACAATTAAAGTGTGATTTTTGAATCAATTTTGGTTTTTGGTACTGAAGACTTTTTCATTAAATAAAAATAAACTATGATGATTAGTTAACAATAAGCATTTTGGGTGAACTCAAAAGTTTTTATCATATAACTTGATGTAGATTTTTTAAATTTATGTAAACATTATATCAATTTTTTTAATATATTCATTTGATACTTACAGGACCAGCATAACAATCACATTCTCCACAAATACATTCACCTCTTCCTGAACATAATTCTGAAGTATTTGTTCTATTTTGAAAATAAATTTATATAAATAATAACTAACATCTTCCATTAGAAATTACATAAATAAATTCATAAAATTTATAATCAATATGCATAAAATTTTAAGTTTGAAATTGATTTATTTTTAACAAACTTACTGTTGACACTGAAATAATTTGCTATGCTGAATTTCATCACATTCACATTCTTTACCATAATGATTTTTTTCACAAGTACATATACCACATTCAAAAGTTCCAGCATATGAACAATTTTCACTTTTCACAATCTAATATAATAAAACATTAAGCATTAATTCATTTTACTTTATTATCTCTAAATTAGTATAAAATTAACTGCTTTTGAAGATAAGATGACAAAAGTTCTAAGACTGGATCTTAAAATAGTTACTGAAGTAAAAAAAAGGAAGTATTATGCTTCCTCCTTATTTTAGTTCTTTCATGGAAAAGTATCGACTGTCCTCATCAATGAAGAAATGTCATTAATAAGTTAATTAGTATATAAATTACAAAATTAGATACCTCATTTTCTGGTTTTTCACAATCACATTCACATAACATGTCAACATCAACTTGCAAATATTCCTGTAAGCCGATTGGTGAAATCTCAATATTGGTATTCCACAAACTTGAATTTTGTGGACATGAAAGTAATTCCACTGTTATATCAAAATCAACCTGAAACGTTTTATAAAAAAAATAATTAAACATATTTATCAATATATTTTTAGTTTTAGTATATCTTAATTAGAGGGCCGGCGTGAACTCTTGTGGGGCCAAAATATATTCAAATCCAATACTTAAATTTCACAATAATGAATTATTTATTATAAGTACAAAGGATGTTACATATATTTTTGTAAGATGAATATTACATAATTTTTCTCGCTTTTTTCGCCGCAAAATCTTTGATTACGTCATCAAAATTGATTGAGTTTGCTACTTCGCTTTCTATTGAAAGAATAGACAGAGATGTAAATCGGTCTTGGCTTATTGATGATCGAAGATAATTTTTTATTAGTTTCAACTGCAAGAAACTATGTTCAACTGAAGCCATAGTTACTGGCATAGTTAACAATATTTGTAACACAATTAATAAATTTGGGTATGCTTCCGAAAGATTGTTTTTTATAATGTATTTCATCGCATCTAGAGCCGAATAATTGGCTTGTGTTATCAATCAGAATATCTTGATCTCTTCAAATATTTCAGTTCTGTCAATATCTCCTTCCAAACGTAAGTGAAGATCTTGACAACATTTTAATAAATATTCGTCTTCTAAATTTGCAATCTCATTCATAAATAGAAAGCCAAAAATATTTTTGATGATTTGCACAGTAGAGCATCAATTATCCGACTCAATTGGGGACTCAGGTTGGTCGGATAACTGAAAAGAATGAAAAAAATACTGTACATTATTAGTATAGTATATTAGTATACCTATATAATTAGTATATTAGAATATCGCTATTAACCAACTTTGCATTGAATTTTCATCGATGTTAAGCCTAACAAATTTTTTTTAAAATAATAATCGTCGCTATTGTATCGTTAAAAATTATTTTAAAATTATTTTATTGCTCACAAAACAAACAACCACTCATAATTAGAAAATTAAGTCTCGTTTAAATACTGGCCTCCCTTCAATGGTCGAGCCAGTATTGCCAGCTAAAACACGCAAAAATTTAACAAAAATAATATTAAAGCAGCCAAGACATAGCCAAATATTGTAGTGCCACATCACTAGCGGACATTTGAAATTTGCCGACTAGAACGGTCGGTTAACCGATGTGATGGTTAATTGGGGGTCGGATAATCGATGCTCTACTGTAATTCAAATCTACTTTTAAATGATACTAACGCAGTATCTATTATTTTAAAAAAGTAACGTATACGGAAGTATTCTTTGTCGCTGATTGTCAACGATTAATCCTGTCCTTCATAATCAAATAATTTTCATTTTTCCCCTGTATGATGGCTTGAAATTTGGTGCTATGTCTATTTCCTTTGCAACTTCATTTGCTGCGATCATGGCTTTGCTGAATCCTCCATGTCTGTATTCTGCAAAGAATACATTCAAGATCGGTGTTTTCTAATTGGGTAATTACCTTAACATCTAATGTCTTCTGCACCCGTATTGCAGACGTGCCAATGTTTGATGTCAACATTTAATATCAACATCTGCAACAGGCTGCAATGAAATATTTCAATGAAAAGATGGGAGAGAAAATCTTGCATTCATGTCAGTGTGCAGCAAGTTGTCATCAATTAGTGGATTATGCGATTGCATTTTCCACACACACCCGAATATTCAATCTACTATAGAGGGGGTCCTGCAAAATATCTGATGAGTTTTCGTACACTGCGGGGCCTTTCAAAACGAGGGGCCAGGTTCCAGCAAATGCGCTAAACCTGCCTCACACTGGCCCTGCTTAATTATAGGAATGTTAAAGACAATTTTCAAGATTTTCTATATTACATAATAAATGGTGGTCCCTTTTGGGCAGACTGTCTTCAATTTTATTTCAAAAAATATTTTGTTTTGTTCACTCTGTTACAGAAGCGAACTACATCTCACAGAATGGCACAAGACCCACAGGAAGTCTGTAAGTATATAAGAACACACAAACAAAAGGAGGAGCCATTTTTGTTTCTGGATGCAGAAGTAATAATGTGCATGTAGTCATACTTTCAATTAGTTGTTAATAGATTGTATGTGATATTTGTAATTTCTTCACCGCAGTCTATATAGAATAAAAATTAAAAAATGTCATGTCAGATTATATGTTAGGTTTTATAATTTTTGAACCCAACAATTCATAATGGATTGAATGACAGTTTGAACTAAGCTTAAAGAAAAATAATTTTGAAATATGGAATATAAAATATTAACTTACTGTTGTGCCCACAGTCATATTTTCACAAACATTTGTCTCTTTTGCATTATCTCTAAAAGAATAACAAAACATTAATATAAAACTATAGAAAACTATAAAAATGTAATGAGATACATACAAAGTCAAATACAATGGAGATCATACTCTCGTGTATGCACATATTGCTAACATTAGACTTGCAAAGATAAATAATGATGTAAAAATTGGTAAAATATTAAGTTATTTCTAAGTTTTATTTTTTGGCATGCATTCTAAATGCTTAAAAACATTAATTGGTTTCAAATCAGAAATCTACAGAACTGAAGAGCTGTAAGTTAATATCTAAATGTTAAAATTTTGTCAGTTCCCATATTTTTAAATTATTTCAGCAATTCTATGAGGCATTAATTCTGCTAATCCACAGTTTTTCTAATGACTTCTGACCCATTCTTCTGCCAGAAGGGTTGGAATTTATGCTGATTCACTTTTCTCTTTAAATACTGCTTAACATTCTTGATTGAGGTCTTGTCAGGGCTTCCAGAAGACCATGGAAGAACTTAGTTTTTAGAACATAGTTTTTCAAAACCAACCTTTGTAGGAATCCTAACAATAAACTCCTAGTAACCCCAACCCTATAAACCTTCAGCCATTTGGGATCAGAATATGAATTCTTTTGTATTTGACTTTATATAAACTAATACAAAATCTGCATAATATTAATCTTAGTTGTCTATGTACAATAGTAAAATAAAATAATATACATATTTTCTTTTTTCATTTCACAGTTTTTGAAAACTGTTTAAAAACTGCTATAAACTGATATTATTTGTTTAAAACAGTTAATGAAACAAATTAAACAAAAGATGCCAAATCTGGGTTATA